CTTTAAAAAGAAGAAAAGAGTTCTGCCACCTTGTCCCCTCTGGGCCTCAGTTTCCTGTTCTGTAAAATGAGGATTGAATCCAGTTGGTGGTCTTTAAGGTCTCTCCTTTGCAGCTTAATTTAAACTGTTGATCCACAAATGAAACACCCCAGTGTGGCAGTGTAATTATAATTATGCTCATCAGGTTGGGTATAGAGAGAAGAGCTGTTCTTTATCCAGAGGATCAGCCTTTCATTGTGCTTCTCCGATGTTTCCAAATTCAAGTGACAACCCTTGTTTTTATGTGCATTGCCATTTCAAACCCATAATCTTCTTGTATCTCTTGAACTTGTGTTTACTGTTAGACAACCAGGGTGCAGAATTCACATTTCACTGTGTTGTTTTTGCTGAAATTGAGTGGGTTTGAGTGGATCACAGCTGGTCCCTGAAGAGAAGGTGGGCTGTGTGTGTATGGTGGTGGTGGTGGTGGGGGAAGATACTGGCTGTTGGAGCTCTAGTTTTGTTTTTAAATCTCCAGTGTCATATTTGCTTAAAATCAGTTAAAATATTTAAAAATAATGATTGCAAAGGAGGCAAGTTCTTGTCATCTGAGCTTTGTGGATTTGTGATGTGGGTCAGGAGTAAGGACCTCTTCTCATTTCCTTTGCTTGAAGCATTTTACCTTGAGAGGGAGAAACAAGGCTTGTGGACCAACTTCCCTGTGTAATAGGATGTGACCCTGCATAACAGCCTCAGATTGGTTTCTTTCCACTGAGCAGTAGGAGCTGTGTTGCTGCCAGGATCAGATCCACTGGTTTACCTTTCATTCTCAGGAAAGACTTAAAAGTACTGAAGGACTTTAAGAACTCTGAAAGGGAAGGCAGTGATTTCAGATCCTGCTGTTGCTGCCTTGGCTTCCCCTGCTTTCACTCTCTTGTATCCACTGTCTTACCATTATTTAAAAGTGGGTTCGAATTTCAGGATTTCTCATGAATGTGCTGCTAGCCTTGGTGAAGGTATGCATGAAACAGTTACAGTACATAGAAGAGAAATCTGAGACCTGGCAAAGTTAAGTGTTTTTTCCAGAGATCCACTGTTTGTTAATCAATGCTAGTGGAGCATTAATTTAACAACACTTATTTACCCACCTACCCCCAGGGAACCAGCATTCCTGACCATCATAGCAGGCAGTCCTAGGGTCTAGTGGGACTAGGACTTTGGAAAGTTCCTTAGCTGATAAGGGAGGGTTTAAAGCCCAGTATGGAGGTAAGGAAGGGAGGAACCCAAAGACCTGGTTTCTCCCAGAAGGTGCTAAC